GGGGGCGGGCCAGCCCCCACCCACCGCTGTGTCTTCTGCGGAGTCAGGCCCAGGTGTGGCCAGGGCAGCAGGGCCAGGAGGGCCTCCCCAGGTGCCCGCTCCTGGCTGGGCTCAGGCTGGGCACATGGCCCTCATCATCCCTGGGGACCATGCCATTGCACTCAAAGGAGCAAGGACGCCCTTGGGACCCACACGAGCTGGGGCTGCTGCTCACGCTGTCTTCGGGGAGCACCGGAGGCCAGGCTGCCCCCAGGCTAGAGCCAAGAGCCCCTGCCCCAGGGCCTGGAACCCTGCTGACCAAGGGCTGGCCACAGCCGGCCAGACAGGAGGGCCTCAGCTGCCTTCTGAGCCTGGGCCTCGTCTGTGGCTTGAAGTTGGGGGCCCACTTCACGTAGTACGGATAGGAGGGGGAGCAGGAGCCGCCGGGGCCACCAGGCTGCCCCACTGCTGTGACAGACGGGGCAGCCTGTCACTTCCCTGACCAGACGCCATCACAGGGGATGGGTTTTGTCATTTGAGTCAGAGCTAACCCTCAGGATCCCGCTTCGGGTTTGTAGTGAGCTCAGTGTCCAGATGACCCCACTAGGTACTGGTCAGTCTGTCCATCCTGGGGCGCTGGAGAGGCAGGCAGAGCCCTGTCCTCCCTGTATGTGTGCTCAAGGCCTCCAGCAGGGGGCACATGGCATGGGATGTGTGGTTTGGGAAGGAGTCTCCATGGCCCACTGTAGGCCTGGCCTCATCCTCCTTGCTGGGGCAGAGGGTGGGAGATCCTCCAGGCCCCCTCACCTCTTGTGGAACCCCCTCTCCCTGACCTACTGACCCTACCCTCTGCAGGTCCCAGAAGCAGAGAACCTGGGCCCCAGGCCTCCTGTCCTCCGCAGCACACGTACCCCACACCTGCGCGCAGCTGGGTAGGAGAGTGGCCCCGTGAGGACGGTGGCCCCGAGCCCTCCCGTGGCTGTGCTCGCAGCTGTGGCATTCTCAGTGAGGCCTTCCCGTCCCCACTGCTCGGATGGGAGGACGGAGGAGGGCAACGTCTTTGTCTCCTGGCTAAGGAGAGGCTGCCCGGCTGCTCTGGCCACTCTTCGAGGAAGGGCGCTTCCCCTCCTACCCATGGCTCTACCAGCGGGGCGGGGTCTCTTGACCCCTCAGCGTGCTGGAGCCACGAAGTGGGTCTGTCACCCATTTACGGCAGAGGGAACGGCTGGCGTCTGACAAGGGTGCTCAGAGACTCGGAGTACCATCCGCTCCACTGCATGTGGGGAGGACTTGAGGCGGGAGGGGCCCAAAGCCATGGCTGTCATTAATCCCCACCTGGGAGGCCAGGCCTGGGGCCGGCCAGGGAGCCGCCAGGGCAGGCCTAGGTGACAGCCTGGCTGCCCCTGTGGCCTGTCACCGCATGCCTTTACTCAGGACTGGAGGCCTGCCCTGGAGAACGGAAGATTGCAATGTCTGCACCTCGCCCTGGACTAAGGCCCCCTGCCAGGACTGACCATGGTGCTGGCACTGCAGCCCCGGCGGGCCCACCGGCCCATTCCAGACCAAGGAGCAGGCTGTCAGGGAGGCAGCGTGGCCTGGGTCAGGGGCACTTCCTGCCACTGTGCCCCTCGCCACTCCCGCCCAGCCCCCAGTGGAAGCCTGGGTGACGTGGAAGCTGGCAGTGGTGGGAGAGAGAGTCCAAGCCAGGCTGATCGGAGGATGCCACTCGGTTGCCATGGCAACTGCTGCAGAGTGCAGCCTTTCAGGATAGACCCAGGTTAGGCCTTGGCTGCCAAAACACCCACTATTTCCAGGCTGGTTACCTTGGTGACCCAGGTGGTGAGGACAGGGTGGGGAGGAGGGAGAAGAGGCGGGACACATGAAGAGAGGCTGGGGAGGGGGACAGGCAGAGGAGGGCCCCCAGCCTAGCCCTGCCCCTGGCCAGGCTGAGCCCTGCTCCGCATCATAGACTGACCTTGGCTCCCTGACCCCATCACATACAGAGCCCTGACCTCAGGCCCACACTGACCCCCAAGCTGAGTCACACGCCACTGCTCCTGAGCACTGCAGAGGGCCTCCAGCGTGGCTGTCCCATGTCCCCAGGCAGAGCCCGGCCAGGTGAAATGTGCTGCTGCACCCACGCTGGGGCAGTCTGGCGGGCAGGGTTTCTGGCACCCAGGTGCTCAGGCCCTGGTGGTCTGGGCTGGGTGGGCTGTGAGGGGGCATCAGAGTGGGCAGGGCTGGGGGGTTGTCCCTGCAGGCCGGAAAGAAGCCACCATTCTTTCCCCACTCAATACCCCTCTGTCTGGTGCCTCATTTCCATCTCATTAAAGGGATGAATAGAGCCAGTTAAGGGCCTCCAGGCAGCACGGCCACCCAAGAGAGGGTGCGAGGGTGAGGCGGTGTGGCCTGGAGGCTGTGGGCCAGTACCCCAAGTCAGCTGAGATGGGGTACTGGGAGGCCT